TGTAACTTTATCTCTCAAATAAATAAAATTTTTTAAAAAGAATGCAATCAGCTATAGTCAGATGCTAGAGGAGAAAGAAGAGGGAAGGAAGAAGAAATACACTAATTTTATCTCTTCTCACTGTAAGGATTAACAGATTCTATCTGAAGAAAATGGGTGATAAATGGGGTTATAAATATAATGGCTTGAGGTTGGTGCTGTGGCTCAGCAGGTTAAAGCTGTAGTCTGCAGCACTGGCATCCCATATGGGCACCGGTTCAAGTCTAGGCTGCTCCACTTCTGTCTAGCTGCTTGCTAATACACCTGGGAAAGCAGTGAGAATCTCTGCTCTTGTACCCATGTGGAAGACCTGGAGGAAGTTCCTGGCTCCTGGCTGCAGCCATTTGGGGAGTGAACTAGCGGATGGAAGATTATCTCTCTCTGTCTCTCCTTCTCTCTCTCTGTAACTCTGCCTTTCAAATAAATAAATAAATCTTTAATATAAATAAATCTTTAAAAAAAAGCAAAATCAGGACACACAGAGTTTGAATTCTTGCCAAGAGTATGGTTTTACTTTTATAAGAAAAAGTAATCAATAATTGATAATATTTTAAAGAAAGTTATGATTACTCTAAAACATTTTAGTTTTTGGCCAAATATTAGTAATTCCATTTAATTACATGTATTTTAGAACTATTCCTAAGAATATAAAATGAAACTTTTCAAGATGCTATTTTTTTTCTTTTTTAAAAATAGTTAGGCATGTGACTTTGGTACCACAGTTCTTTTTTTTTTTTTTTTTAAAGACTTATTTATTTGAAAGTCAGAATTAGAGGGAGGGAGGGGGGAAGGGAGGGAGATATCTTCTATCTGCTGGTTCACTCTCCAAATGGCTGCAACTCCAGGGCTGGGCTGCAAGGGCCCAAGCACTTAGGCCATCTTCTGCTGCTTTCCCAGGTGCATTAGCAGGGAGCTTGATCAGAAGTGGAGTAGCAGGGACACAAACCAGTGCCCATATGGGATGCCGGCATCACAGGCAGCAGCTTTATCTGCTCCATCACAATGCTGGTCCCTCAAGATGATATTTCAGTTCTAAGTGATACTTAAAAGATTTAGGCAAACATAAATTGTGATACTCTAATTTTCAAATGATTGTTAAAATTCAAATTTTGAATGTACAAGCACAATAAGAAGGAAATATATTAACATTTCACTATAAAATTTTCTAAATATTTGAGGCTTGCCCATTAAGAAATGTAAAGTATTTCAAAATACTTCTGTCTATAAAAATGTGATAATGCTTTATTGAAACCCAAGTGTTAAGTATAGTTAAAGAAGTTAAAAAAACAAATAATATTAAAAATAGGGAACCAACAATTCCAGGTAATATTTGGAAAGAGCTTAGTCGATAAAGCAGTTGAATTTTTTAGTATACTTTCTATTATAAAAGGTTTTTAAGGAAAAAGAGAACTCTGTATACATGAATGTAGGGGATTGGCATATGGAGATAAGCAAAATAACCATCAGGCACTCAACAGCTGCACTGAACTAAATGTTTTCAAAAAATACCAATTAATGCAAAAGTAGGCACATCCTGCATTTTTCTACTATGAAATGATACTGGCATTCATAAAATAAAAGCTGTTATTTAAATCATTTTAAAGTGTACAGTCCAGTGGCAGTTAAGAACATTCACCTTGTTGTGTTAACCATCATCCTTATCCATCTCCAGAATGTTTTTTATCTTTCCAAACTGAAACTTGGTACCCACTGATCATTAACTCTACCTTTTTCATCCCCCTAGCTCCTAGCAACCACCCTTCTACTTCTTTTCTTGTGAATTTACTCTAGGTACTCCATAGTAAGGGAATTCAGTGTCTTTCTTTAGCAGCTGACTTTTCAATATGGCAGAAGACAAATGGAAATGCTAAGATGCTTCAGGCACCCCTCTGACTTGATGACTATGGAAAGAACTGGAAGAGCTATGTTGTTAGGGCTGGTGGGAAAACAGTTACAAATTCACTCAGTGGGAAAGACAGGCAGAGCTTCACACAAAAAGAACTCTAGTTAAATCATGAAAAGAAATTTTAAGTTTTGGTTATGCTATTGATACAAATGACTGTAGAATTTAAGATTTGGTATTAGGTTTTACTTTGAAAAAAAATTCAGTTAAAAGCACAAAATACCTTCTTTTAAACTATTTAAGGGGCTGGCATTGTGGTGCAGCAGGTAAAGCTGATGTTTACAGCACCAGAATCCCATATGGGTGGCAGTTTGAGTCCCAGCTGCCCCATTTTCGTTCCAGCTCCCTGTTAATGTGCCTGGGAATGCAGCAGAAGATGGCCCAAGTGCTTGGGCCCCTGCACCCACATGGGAGACCCAGAAGAAGCTCCTGGATCCTGGCTTTGGATCAGCCCAGCTCAGGCTGTTGCAGCCATTTGGGGAGTGAACCAGCAGATGGAAAACTTTCTCTCTCTCTCTTTCTCTCTCTCTACCTCTACCTCTACCTTTCAAATAAATAAAATAGGGGCCGGCGCTGTGGCGTAGCTGGTAAAGCCGCCACCTGCAGTCCTGGCATCCCATATGGGTGCCAGTTCGTGTCCTGGCTGCTCCACTTCTGATCCAGCTCTCTGCTATGGCCTGGGAAAGCAGTAGAAGATGGCCTAAGTCCTTGGGCCCCTGCACCCACATGGGAGACCTGGAGGAAGCTCTTGGCTCCTGGCTTCAGATTGGCACAGCTCCGGCTACTGTGGCCAACCAGCGGATGCAAGACCTCTCTCTCTCTCTGCCTCTCCTTCTCTCTCTCTGTAACTCTGTCTTTCAAATAAATAAATAAATCTTAAAAAAAAAACAAATAAATAAAATAAATCTTAAAAAACTATTTAAAATAATTTTAATGATAAATACATTTCAAGTTCACAGAAAATTAAATACAATATTTATTTTGGTGTACTTTTTTTGAAATCTGTACATAGTTTTTTCACTGTACGTATTTTCCATGAACTTTTCAAAGACCCCCCCCCCCCACGTGTTATTTCACCTGCACTTTATAACCTTCTTATTAAGAAGGGACCAGATAAATGGGTTGAAACTTAAGACAATGAAGTTACTTCTCCAAAATTATCTAGATCTGTCTGAACATAGCCCATATTTTCAATTACTCCACCTGACTTCTCACAGCTGGTGCAACTGGTACCTTGAGCTAAGACTCTGTCTTTGGCCTGCTTGAGTATTTCCCAATCACGGCAGGTTGTAAAGCTCACCATAAATTCCTACTGCATATCCCTGAATTGGCCCTATAATGACCATATGGGTGCCAATTCCAGTCCCAGCTGCTCTACTTCTAACCCAGCTCCCTGCTAATGCGCCTGGGAAAGCAATGGAAGATGGCCCAAGTCCTTGGGCCTTTGCACTCACATGGGAGATCTGGAAGAAGCTCCTTGGTTCTGGCTTCAGCCTGGCCTAGCCCTAGTTGTTGCGGCCATTTGGTGAGTGACAGCAGATGGAAGATCTCTCTGTCTCTCTTCTCTGTCTATAACTCTGCCTTTCAAATAAATACTAAATGCTTTTTTTTTTTTTAAAGAAAACCATTAAGAAAATTAATGAGTTAGAATGCATCTATGAAAATAATTCTTGGTATCTTCAATCCAAAAACTTTGCTCAAAAATCTTTCTCAAACTTTTCCTTTCTAACCCATTGTCTGTTTCCTCTTTCCTTATCAGTTAGGTATAAGTTTTGATCCCATTTTTTCTTAAGTTGGGCTATCTTTTGTTTTTCTTGAATTTCTTTAGCTGCTTTTGTCCCACCTGATCTATGGGAGAATGAACTCCAAGAGCAAGGACTTGTCTATTCCACTTCCTTTGTGATGGCAGTGGTGTGTGACGGTACAAGCAGTTCTGAAATATGATGCTACAGAAGCTGGAGTCAAATAACAACTATTTGTCTACTGGGATAAGCCAGTGAACTTACCTTGCACTCTATGGCATTTTGTATAAAAAGGAAATTGTGTCTAACTGACCTCTAAGTCCTTGTGATTATTCACTCCGCTTCTCTGACTGATTGATGATATTCATGAAGACTTTTCTAATTCCATCCTCAGGAACATGTTGTACAGCTCTCATATGAACCTAAATTACTACACAGAGAGCGATGAAATAACAACTTCTGATGTCAAACAGCAGAGGCCACCTGATGAGCATTTGTGAAAAGTAGTTCCCTCCTGACAGTTTATCTTTGAAGCACTGCTTTGAATTAGCTTGCTAGTAATGGTATTTCATTATTTCATAATCTATCAGAGTTTGTCCCCTACCATGCCTCCAGCAGAGCAACTTCATTCATCTAAATTCACTTTCACTACTTGCTGGTAGACTCTGAGCCCTTACCTGGCCACAGAAGAATTTGACTTCATATTTATAGCTCAGACATGCACATGACTTTGATGCACTTTGGATTTCAGGTTCTCTATCTCCAAAATGACAAAATAAGCAGCATAAATTAAAGAAAAACCTTTGTAGATAACATTATTACTGTCTTCTGCAGAATCATATCAATATGATAACCACAATAATTTATTTTCTGGGACTGGTGCTGTAGTTTATCAGGTAAAGCCACCACCTGCAGTGCCAGCATCCCATGTGGGTGCCATTTTGAATCCTGGCTGCTCCACTTCCGATCCAGCTCTCTGCTGTGGCCTATGAAAGCAGTAGAAGATGGCCCAAGTGCTTGGGACCCTGCACTCCTGTGGGAGACAAGGAAGAAGCTCCTGGCTCCTGGCTCAGATCGGCACAGCTCCAGCCATTGCAGCCAATTGGAGAGTGAACCAGTGGATGGAAGACCTCTCTCTCTCTCTCTGTGTCTCTCTGCCTCTCCTTCTCTTTTTGTGTAGCTCTAACTTTCAAATAAATAAGTAAATCTTCAAAAAATTTATTTTCTATACTTACCTAAATACAATATTCAGGATTCTATTTAGTACATCTGACCAACATAGAATACCAAAGCGTCACAAAATAAAATTCACTTACTTGGCATTTCTGACGCAACTGGCGTAGTTCTTTTATAACTGGGGCCAGAGCTGACTTCTTTTCAGATACCAGTGAATTTAGTCTTTTTACCTGTCATTTAAACAAAAAAAAAAAATGACAGCTAAAACAATTTCTATTTTTCTAAAAAAAAATACTATGTGTATTAAGAGATTACAGCATTAAATATATGAGTTAAAAATAGCCTATAAATTACTTTAATGCCAAACAATTGGGAAATAATGGAGTAAATCTTGATTCCTTACCAAGATGGAATATTATTTAACTATTCAAAAGGTCAAGACTATAATCCATTAATGGGGAAATATTTATAATCTAATACTCAACAAAATAAATGACAAAGTTCCCTTTATATAACTACACTAATGTTGTATTATATAAACTGCATAATTATGTAGTTTATATAAAATATACATAAGCATGATGGAGTGATATTCAAAATACTTAATAGGGGCTGGTGCTGTGGCACAGTGGGTTAATGCCCTGGCCTGAAGTGCCGGCATCCCATATGGGCACCAGTTCTAGTCCCGGCTGCTCTTCCGATCCAGCTCTCTGCTATGGCCTGGGATAGCAGTAGAAGATGGCCCAAGTCCTTGGGCTCCTGCACCTGCATGGGAGACCTGGAAAAAGCTCCTGGCTCCTGGCTTCGGATCTGCGCAGCTCCGGCCGTTGCAGTCATCTGGGGAGTGAACCAGCGGATAGAAGACCTCTCTCTACCTCTCTCTGTAACTCTGTCTTTCAGATAAATAAAAAAATACTTAATAACCTGTATGGCATTAAGTAATCATCAGTTGGAATAAACACCAGTCACAGAGAAAAATAAAGTCTTGGAGGCTTCTTTTGTGCTAAGCATTTTAGGAGTTAGACTGTGGGGTCTATGTTGTAGTATAGCAGATTAAGCTGCCACTTGTGATGCCAGCATCTTATTGGGGTGCCAGGTCGAGCAGTGGAAGATGGCCCAAATACTTGGGCCCTGCACTCATGGGAGACCCAGAAGAAGTTCCAGGCTCCTGGCATTGATCTGGCACAGCCCTCGCTGTTGCAGACATTTGAGGAGTGAACCAGTGGATGGTAGATATCTCTGTCTCTATTTCTCTGTCACTTTCTCTCTTTCTGTAACTCCACCTTTCAAATAAATAAAAAAAAAGTCTTTTAAAAATGTATGATTTAGATTGTGATCTGATCCAGTGGATTCTCAGGAATGGTCAGTGTGGACAAGGAAGCTGGAGGAAAGTAACTTTTTTTTTTTTAAGATTTATTTATTTATTTGAAAGGCAGAGTTACAAAGAGGCAGAGGCAGAGAGAGAGAGAAGTTTTCCAAATGCTGGTTCACTCCCCAAGATGGCAGCAACGGCCAGAGCTGAGCCAATCTGAAGCTAGGAGACAGGAGCTTCTTCCAGGTCTCCCATGTGGGTGCTGGGGCCCAATCCTCTACTATTTTCCGAGGCCATAGCAGAGATCTGGATTGGAAGTAGAGCAGCCAGGACTCGAACTGGCACCCAAATGGGATGCCAGCACTGCAGACAGCAGCCCCACCTACTATGCCACAGCAATGGCTCTGAAAGTAACTGCTGAGAGTTTGGGGCAGCAGTTATTACCACAAGTAAGTAAAGATTTTCATATTTTATAGCCTAGTGAAAATGTACCAATGCCTTCTAACTGAACAGTAGCTCTATTTACAGAAAAATACCATGAATACAAAGAAACATGCAATTTTATTGGGTAGGATGATATAATTTAGGGAAACTTATTTTTATCTTAAGTTATATAACTTTTATGTATTTAAGAAATGCACAGAATGCATAAATTATTAGAAGTTGGACAATATTAATAGAATGGAAAAATACAAAAGAGATAAAGACAAATAAAAGAATATAAACAATATGCAGAAAGGAAAATTGAATATTTCGTTGCTAACAGCACAAACACAAAAACACCCACTTTCTGGCTGTGCAATAAAAAGAAACTAAAACAAACAAACAAAAAACACAACTCAAACTATAATCACCATTTCAGACATGTCATCCAGTGTTCGCCCTTTCATTTCATCAACTTCACTCTTCAGGGCAGACACTCTTTCCAGCTCTTCTTGGGTGTAACTATACCCAGATATGCCCTTTTTCTCCTCAGTAGTTTGCTATAGAATAAAAATGTCAAATAACCACCATGAAAATCTTGCTGCTTCCCATACTACAGATTTCAAACATAACAGAAAGTTGTAAATACAACAGATTAGTTGAGAATCCTAAGGGATGCCTATATGGGATAAACCTGTACTAAATTTTACTATAGTATCTTCAAGAAAGTATTTTTAATTTTAAAACTTTAGAATAATGCAATGTACTTAACACAGAACTAAAAAAAAAAGGATGCACTTCATAAACATTTAGTGAATAAATGAATTTTCCAGTGATAAGTTGTTTTTCATTTATTTACACATTCAATATTTATTATACAAATAAATGTACCAACCACAGTTCCAGGCAGCAGATACACAACAATAAACAAAATAGGAAAAAGAAACCCTTCACTCATACAGCTTACTTCTAGCGGGAATAAATAAGTAATATGTAAATAAGTAAATAAAGTGCATATAATGTGAGGTGAGAATGGGGCTGGAATCTCAGTAGTTACAGAATGTCTTCCCTGAAGGAACTGAGGGAGTAAGCCAAACAGATGCTCATGGTATCAGCAAGCATGGTATCAGCAAAAGCCATGAGGCAAGGACATACCCTTGCCTGTTCAAGACACAGCAAGGAAGCTGATGAGGCTGAGAACACAGTGAAAATGAAGCAGGGGTGAGATAAGGATCACATAGGGCTCAGGTGGTTTGCTGGGACAGTCTCAGTTTATATCTATTGTCCTTTGAGCTCACAAGTATCCAAGTTTAAATGATAAATTATATAATTATTTTTAGGCCAATGAAAGAGCTTTGACTTGTTTTAAATGAGATGGAGAGGTGTTGGAGAGTTCAGAATAGAAGAATTTTCAAACGATCAATTTAACATCTGCAGGGAGGTCAACTGGAAGGCCACTCCAGTAACTCGAGTTAGATGATGATGATGATTTTGGAATCAGTGTGGTGATGGTGACAGGCAATAAGTGGTTCTGTGTACATTCTACAGGCAGAGTCGAGAAGATACTGTGACAGATTTGATGTGGGGGGATAAAGGAAAGGGTAAAGCACACATTCAAGGCCTGAGGGACTGACTGACAGATGAAGCTGCCATTTGTTGCAATGAGGAAGACTGGGGAAGACGAGATGATGAAGAGCAGAAGCTTAGCTTCAGATACGGCAAAAATCTGAAATGTCTATTAAATATCCAGTTGGAAAGGTCAAGACGTTATATGTACAAGATGTGAATGGAAGAGAAATCTGGAATGGTGATAAATATTTGTGACTTATCAGCAAACAGAGAGTCTAATACCACCAAGGATGTGAGTAGAGATCTAAGAACTAACCTGGAGAACTCAACATTTGGATCTTGAAAAAAGAAGAAAACAGTAATGCAGTGGGAACAGGAGTGTTAGTTTGGGAGAAAAAGCAAGAAAGTATAGTACCCTAGAAGACAGGTGGAGAAAAATTTTACAGGAAGAAGGATGGATTAACTATGTCTAACCTTGCTAACAGTTGAACAGGAAATGGACTAAGAATTGATCACTGGATTTCACAATGTGACAGTACTGGTGACCTGACAAGAGAAATTTCAGTGGAAAAGTGGGTATTAAAACTTTATTGGGGGGGGCCGGCGCCGCGGCTCACTAGGCTAATCCTCCGCCTGCAGCACCGGCACCCTGGGTTCTAGTCCCGGTTGGGGCACCGGATTCTGTCCCGGTTGCCCCTCTTCCAGGCCAGCTCTCTGCTGTGGCCAGGGAGTGCAGTGGAGGATGGCCCAGGTGCTTGGGCCCTGCACCCCATGGGAGACCAGGAAAAGCACCTGGCTCCTGGCTCCTGCCATCGGATCAGCGCGGCGCGCCGGCCGCGGCGGCCATTGGAGGGTGAACCAACGGCAAAGGAAGACCTTTCTCTCTGTCTCTCTCTCTCACTGTCCACTCTGCCTGTCAAAAAAGAAAATTAAAAAAAAAAAAAAAACCTTTATTGGGGGTTCGGGTCGGCATTGTGGCATAGCGGATAAAGCTGCTGCCTACAGTGCTGGCATCCCAAATGGGTGCCGGTTCGTGTTCCGGTTGCTCCGCTTCCAATCCAGCTCTCTGCTTTGGCATGGGAGGGCAGCAGAGGACGGCCCAAGTCTTTGGGCCCCTGTGCCAGTGTGGAAGACCTGGAGGAAGCTACTGGCTCCTAGCTTTGGATAGGCGCAGCTCCAGCCATTGCAGCCAATTGGGGAGTGAATCAGTGGATGGAAGATCTCTCTCTCTCTCTCTCTCTCTCTTTCTGCCTCTCCTCCTCTCTCTCTGTAGCTCTTTCAAATAAATAAATAAATCTTAAAAAAAAAAAAAAAAAACCTCATTGGGCTAGCCCTGTGAAGTAGTGGGTAAAGCTGCCACCTGCGGTGCCCACATCCCATATGGCCGCCAGTTCGAGTCCCAGCTGCTCCACTTCCGATCCAACTCTCTGCAATAGCCTGGGAAAGCAGTAGAAGATGGCCCAAGTCCTTGGGCCCCTGCACCCATGTGGGAGACCCGAAAGAAACTCCTGGCTCCTGGCTTCAGATAGGCACAGCTCCGGCCATTGCGGCCAACTGGGGAGTGAACCAGCTGATGGAAGATCTCTCTCTGTCTCTCCCTCTCTGTAGCTCCAGTTTTCAAATAAGTAAATAAATATTTAAAAAAAAAACCTTACTGGAGAAGATTTAAAAGAGAATGGAACTTAAAATAGAGATAAAGACAGGTATCCCATTGCAGACTCAGCACCCATTCTCTTCAACCATCAATGGAGCTTAGTGAGAGCTAATTCCATATTCCATATTCTTTTTTCTTTAAAGATTTATTTATTTGAAAAAGTTACAGAGAGAAGTAGTGACACAGAGAGAGAGAGAGGTCCTCCACCTGCTGGTTCACGCCCCAAATGGCCACAAAGGCTGGAGATGAGCTGATCAGGAACCAGGAGCTTCTTCTGGGTCTCCTACGTTGATGCAAGGGCGCAACGACTTGGACCATCCTTTGCTGCTTTCCCAGGAACATTAGCAGGAGCTGGGTCAGAAGTGGAGAAACAGCACCCAAAAGGGATGCTGGCACTGCAAGCTGGAGCGTTAATCCACTGCGCCACAGCATCGGCCCCCAAATTCCATGTTCTTTATAGTTATTATTCCTTCTCAAATGCCAGTGACACTATACCAGCTAACGCATATTTGTTGACGTATCAGATAAATGACAGGCTTAAATGCATGAGTCAGTAATTTAAAACAAAGTGGTAAAGTCATAGAACCTCCTTAGGAGCTTTAAATAAACCACACTTCCCATGGCTAAAGAGAAGAAAGATATGAAAAACAGGCATAGGACTTAATGGTAAGACAGACAAAACATAGAGAAGGTTAAGTTCTTTGTCTAGGTAAGTATTCTACGCCAAAGTCAGGATCCTGATAAGGAAAAGAGCGAGGGATGGGAGTATATGGATAAGACCCACTTGTGAAGTTTACAACTCCAGATTATTCTATATCCTTAGGGCAGTGGAATATGGCTTAGCTTGCTGGTCAGGAGCCTGGAAGAAGTAAAGATAGCAAGATTGGAAGTTTAAAGACAAGGATGTCTAGTGAAGAAGCATGTGAATAAATGCATGAGAATAGGCACTAAGAGTGGAGATGCACATGCCCATGGGAGTCAGTCATTTTCTGATACATCACACCATCCAGGTAACTGATGGCCTAACCGAACAGCAGAATGGCTTCCTGAAGGCACAACAAAGGTCCCAGCTTGGAACTGATAGCCTGTGAAGTGAGTTCTATTTTTCAGGACAGGTGAACACCTTAAACCAATGCCTATTACATGGTGCTGTGTTCCCAAGAGAATGCGAGTCCTGGAATCATGAAACGAAAGTATGAGTGTTACCACTCGCCATAATCCACACTGATCCATTTAGGGAATTACGCTTCCTTTCCAGACATCTTTAGGCTGTGTAGGTACAGATGTTCTGGTTCTACCACCGCAAGGGGTACATTCAGAGGCCTTTTAAACTTACTGCTATGACCACCATCTGGTCACTTGGGTTCCCATGCCAACAGGCCAGCAGGCAAACAAAATAATATTGTCAGGACATCACAAGGCAATATAGATCCTGCTATATAATAGAGGCAAAAAGAAATATACCTGGTACTAGGGCATATGTTGGCACTCCCATACCCAATTTTAACTATGTGAGGATCTTCAAAAAGTTCACAGGAAACACATAATATAAAGAAACTGTACAAATTTTACAATTATTTGCACCAAAATAAACATCTTTCAATTCAATTTTTCCACAAAATTTTTGAAGTATAATTGTAAATAGGCAAGTATAGTAACCACAGCCTGATAAGCAAAGGTTACTAGAGTCTCACGCTTCACATGGATGAGGGCCTGGGTAATCCCATCAAATAAGACTAGAGGAAGTACTAGCTGAAGCTGAGGGAATCTGGAATAGATGGCAGAGGAAGGAAACGTTGAGTACAGGCTGTGTTCTTGGAACCAAATGGAGCAATGAGACTTTCAATTAGTGTTACTAATAACCTTTCTATAAATTTGCCTAGAAATTGTGACCAATCAGAATCCTGTTGGAATTATTCTTGGATGGAGTAAATCTAATATGAGAAACAAGTAGATTTTGGCAGCGCAAGGGGTAGACTGCAGTGGATATTGTCAGTAATCACCCGAGGCTCTTGTCTTGAGCTGCTAAGGCTATGGAAGCCTTTTGAGTTCACAAACTCCGACCTTATTTAGACAAGGCCATAGTCAAAGTGAAAGTTCTCTCCTCCCTTCAGAGAAAGATACCTCCTTCTTTGATGGCCCCTTCTTTCCACTAGGATCTCACTCACGAAGATCTTTCATTTAGGTTTGTTTTTTTTTTTTTTTTTTTTTTGCCACAGTGTCTTGGCTTTCCATACAAAACTCTTATGGGCTTTTTAGCCAGATCCAAATGCCTTAAGGGCTGATTCTGAGGCCAGAGTGCTGTTTAGGGCATCTGCCATTCTATGAGAATTCAACTTCCCATGTTGGATTGTTCTCTCCTTTTTAATTCTATCAGTTATTATTAGCAGACACTAGTCTTGTTTATGTGATCCCTTTGACACTTTTTTCTATCATTATGATCAATTATGAACTGGAACTAATCACTTTGACTAGTAAGATGGCATTGGTACATACCACCTTGATGGGATTGATTTGGAATCCCCTGGCACGTTTCTAGCTCTACCATTAGGGGTAAGTCCGAGTGAGCATGTGCCAAACTGTACATCTCCTTCCTCTCTTATTCCCACTCTTATATTTAACAGGTATCATTTTTCAGTTAAATTTAAACACCTAAGAATAATTGTGTGTTAAAGAGTTCAACCAATGATATTAAGTAGAACAAAAAAAATACTAAAAGGAATAAAATAGTAAGTTGTTCCTCGACAGTCAGGACAAGGGCTGATCAAATCATTGTTTCTCATAGTGTCCATTTCACTTCTACAGGCTTCCTTGTAGGTGCTCAGTTAGTTGTCACAGATCAGGGAGAACATATGATATTTGTCCCTTTGGGACTGGCTTATTTTACTCAGCATGATGTTTTCCAGATTCCTCCTTTTTGTTGCAAATGACTGGATTTCATTTTTTTTTACTGCTGTATAGTATAGTATTTTTTTTTTTTGACAGGCAGAGTGGACAGTGAGAGAGACAGAGAGAAAGGTCTTCCTTTTGCTGTTGGTTCACCCTCCAATGGCCACCGCGGCCGGTGCATTGCGCTGATCCGAAGGCAGGAGCCAGGTGCTTTTCCTGGTCTCCCATGCGGGTGCAGGGCCCAAGCACTTGGGCCATCCTCCACTGCACTCCCGGGTCATAGCAGAGAGCTGGCCTGGAAGAGGGGCAACCGGCACAGAATCCGGCGCCCGACCGGGACTAGAACCCGTATGCCGGCGCTGCTAGGCAGAGGATTAGCCTATTGAGGCACGGCGCCAGCCCTGCTGTATAGTATTCTATAGAGTACATATACCATAATTTCTTTATTCAGTCTACTGTTAATGGGCATTTAGGTTGATTCCACGTCTTAGCTATTGTGAATTGAGCTGCAATTAACATTGAGGTGCAGACAGCTCTTTTATTTGCCATTAATTTCCTTTGGTTAAATTCCAAGGAGTGGGATGGTTGGGTCATGTGGTAGGGCTATATTCAGGTTTCTGAGGAATCTCCAAACTGTCTTCCATGTGGCTTTACTAGTTTACTACAATCAATTTTACAGTTAGTGCTGTTAGGATCCACATTTGATTCATAGTAAATTTTCAATCTTTTCCCTTTTCAGCATGAGACAGAAAAGTTCATATTACCAGCTAAAATGAACCACAACTGGCTGAAATTCATTTACCTCTTTCAGATTATTGCTAGTTGGTGATCCAGCATCCTGAAGCAAGCTTCCCCAAGGGTGAAAACAAAAAAGCCAAACCAAGAAAACTCAGAACTGGCATGCACAGTAACAGCTTTGCTGTTGGACTATACTGACAACCAATGCACAAACACATAAGGACCAAGCCTGCAGGCAAACTTCTACACAGCACTTTCTCTGGATATTCCTTTCCAAAGCGCCTTGGAAGTGGCTGCTTAGAAATAAATATTTCACAGTCACTCTCTTGGTATGATAATTTTACTCATATTAAGTAGCTAAGCAAAAGAAAACCCTACTTAGAATTCCACTTCTATTAATAACCCCAAAGTTAGCTCACACACACAAAGTCAGCACTTATTGCACATTAAAGATAAATGAATCACCTTATATGACATCTCTGTAATTAATCAAAGAAAATAATTTTAAAGGTTTCCAGTGAAAATAGTTATCTCAGTATAAAGTATAACCCATAAAGCCCCTGGCATTTGTAGTCATAGAATCTAAGATAATACCATCTTACCAGCTGGTGCTGAATATTTTCATGACGCTGCTTAAGAAGTTCTTCTGTCCTTTGCAAGAGACCAAATTCGGCTTTAAATTCAGCTATTATTTGATGCTTCTTTTTGTAAACTGTACTTTTACTTCGAAGTTTACTGACATATCGTTTGAACTGTAAAAAAAGGTATATTATCTAATGAGTAGAAAAGTAATAGTTAGATATCATATTAAACTCAATGTACCGCCGGCGCTGTGGCGCAGTAGGTTGATCCTCTGCCTGCAGCACTGGCAAACCCTGGGTGCTAGTTCTAGTCCCAGCTGTTCCTCTTCCAGTTCAGCTCTCTGCTACGGCCTGGGAAAGCGGTGGAAGATGGCCCAAGTCCTTGGGCCCCTGCACCCATGTGGGAGACCGGAAAGAAGCTCCTGGCTCCTGGCTTCAGATCAGCTCAGCTCCGGCCATTGTGGCCATCTGGGGAGTGAACCAGCGGATGGAAGACCTCTCTCTCTGTCTGTACCTCTCTCTGCAATTCTTTCATATAAAATAAAATAAATCTTTAAAAAATTTAAAAAGCATTAAAAACACTTAAAAAAAATACTGGGTCTGGTGCTGTGGCGTAAGCAGTTAAACCCACCACCTGCAGTGCTGGCATCCATACAGGTGCTAGTTCTAGTCCTGACTGCTCCACTTCCAATCCAGCTCTCTGCTGTGGCCTGGGAAAACGGTAGAAGATGGCCCAAGTCCTTGGGCCCCTGCACCCACATGGGAGACCAAGAAGATGCTCCTGGCTCCTGGCTTCAGATTAGCATAGCTCCAGCTGTTGTGGCTATCTGGGGAATGAACCTCTGCCTCTCAGTAACTCTGCCTTTCAAATAAATAAATAAATTTTAAAAAAATACTAACTGCTCAAATGAAATATTTTGTGTAGGTTTTTATTTTTAAACCCATTTAAGAGGCCAGTGCTGTGGTACAGCAAGTAATGCCGCTGCCTGCAGTGCCAGCATCCTATACGGGAGCTGGTTTGAGTCCTGGCTGCTTCACCTCCAATCTAGCTCTCTGCTATGGCCTGGGAAAATAGCAGAAGATGGCCCAAGTCCTTCAGTCCCTGCACCCATGTTGGAGACCTGGAAGAAGCTTCTGGTTCCTGGCTTCAGAACAGCACAGCTCCAGCCATTGTGGCCATCTGAACCAGTGGATGGAAGACTTCTCTCCCTCCCCTATCTCCTCTGCCTCCCTATAACTCTACCTTGCAAACAGATAAATAAATCTTTAAAATAAATAAATAAACCCATTTATATTCTAAATTCTTACACAAAAGCTATTAATTTTGCACTTCCTAAGCAAGGATTAGGAAATCAGAATGCAATGTCATGAAAATGAAAAGCTTTACAAAAGAAGAGGAGGCTGGTGTTGTGGTGTAGTGAGTAGGGCTGCTGCCTGTGACATCAGCATCCCATATGGATACTGGGTTGTGTCCCGGATGCTCCACTTCCAATCCGGCTCCCTGCTGATGCATCTGGGAAAGCAGCAGCAGAAGGCCAATTGCTTGAGCCCCTGCACCCATGTGGGAGAAACAGAGGAGGCCCCTGGCTCCTGGCTTTGGTCTGGTCCAGTCTTGGAAGTTGCAGCCATTTGGGGAGTAAACCCAAGGTTGGAAGATCTCTCACTCTTTCTGTTTCTCCCTCTCTCTGTAACTCCGACTTCCAAATAAATAAATAAGGCTTAAAAAAAAAAGAAAAAAATGACACAATTCTAGCTGTGGTCTTATCATAGTACACCTTTTGTACTGTACTATTCTGGTAGCAGGACACTGGATCTACTGGGATTCACAAAAACAACCAGAATGATCAACACTTGCAGCTAATATGCACATATTACACTTGAGGAATGACCATATTCCCTATGAAGCACCCAAGGCACTAGGACAACCCATCCCAAACATTAAAGATAAGTCAGAACTACGTCAGAAAAATAGACATTATTAAGTAACAGCAACTAGAGTTTGGAGAAGCAAATGAAATAAAGTGAACATAATGTTTAAAGGAATCTACTGAGTCTTATTATTGATCACGCACTGGATAGTGTTCCAGACAATGAGTATGTAACTCTGAACACTGCACTCAGAAGTCCTCATCGAACATAGGGAATAGAGAGGAAAATAAGTATTGAACTGAGATCTACAATGACGTTTAAAATTATAAAGAACTGAAGAGGCCCTAAGAATAAACAACAGGAATTTAAACTGCATTGGGATAAAGATAGGAAGGTGAGGAGCTGGGGTTTAAGAGAGGTGAATTGTGACAAGCTTCTTAGAGTAATTTATGTAAGCCAGGACTGAAAGCACACGAATGTGTGAGTGGCAGGGAAGAGCATTCCAGGCAGAAGGAACAGCATATGTAAAGGCCTTGAGGCACCTGTTCAATGTGACAAGCAAATGTGAAAAATTTCTGCCATTTCTGAAACAGAACAGGATATATATTGGAAAAAACAAACTTCCTCTATATATCATGAATACTAACAATTTTCAGTTTTATATAGTTTTTCTGCTTCAATTATCCTCTTTTTTATTTTTTATTTATTTTTTATTTTTTTATTTATTTATTTTTTTGACAGGCAGAGTGGACAGTGAGAGAGAGAGACAGAGAGAAAGGTCTTCCTTTGCCGTTGGTTCACCCTCCAATGGCCGCCGAGGCCGGCGCGCTGCGGCCGGCGCACCGCGCTGATCCGATGGCAGGAGCCAGGAGCCAGGTGCTTTTCCTGGTCTCCCATGGGGTGCAGGGCCCAAGCACCTGGGCCATCCTCCACTGCACTCCCTGGCCACAGCAGAGGGCTGGCCTGGAAGAGGGGCAACCGGGACAGAATCCGGCGCCCCGACCGGGACTAGAACCCGGTGTGCAGGCGCTGCTAAGCGGAGGATTAGCCTAGTGAGCCGCGGCGCCGACCCCTCTTTTTTTTTTTTTTTTTTTTTAAGAAAATGTTTTTGTCAGCTCCACCCACTCGCTGCTCATACTTCCCTGCCCATCCCCGGCAAAGTTTTAAGAAGACCTGTTCCTGAGCTTGTCTCTCTCCTGCTCTCTCTTGATCTTTCTTACACTCTCCTCTCTCTTTTTTCCTTCACTCCTTGCCTCCAGTCTGTTGGGTTTCCCCCTCCAATAAACCCTCTCCCTTAAAAAAATTAAATAAATAAATACATGTTTTATACGTTTACTTTCATTTGCTTGGAAGCCAGAGTGAAAGAGAAAGGGAGAGGGAGAGGGAGAGGGAGAGGGAGAGGGAGAGGGAGAGGGAGAGGGAGAGGGAGAGGGAGAGGGAGAGGGAAAGAGAGGGAGAAACATTCCATCTGCTGGTTCACATCCTAACAGCAGGGACTGGGCTCAGGCTAAAACCAAGAGCCCAGGTCTCCTATGTGGATGGCAGGAGCCCAGGAATCTGAGCCATTATCCACTGCCTCCCAGGAACATTAGCAGAAGCTGGACAGGAAGTTGAGTAACCAAGCCTCAAATTGGCACTCTGATATGGGATGTGGGCATCCTAAGCCATAGCTTAATTCACTGTACCATAACACCTGCCCCTAACCATCCTCCTATTATAAGAAAACTTCTGGGGGTAGATGTTTGGCATAGTGGTTGAAATGCCACTTGGGATGCTGCATCCCATATCAGAGTACGTAGGTTTGAGTCCAAGCTCTGCTGTCTATTCTAGCTTCCTGCTAATGTAGACCCTGGGAGGCAGGAGGTGATGGCTCAAGTACTTGAGTTCCTGCCACCCATGTAGGAAAGCCAGATTGAGAACCATCAGCTGCTGCAAGTGTTTGGAAAGTGACGAGTGGAAGAGAGACCACTATTTGTCCCTGTCTTTCCAATAAATAAAAATTATACAAAATACGGGACTGGCATTGTGGCACAGCAGGTTAAGTCACAGTTTATGACACTGGCAACACACATGAACACCAGTTTGAGTCTCAGCTGCTCTGCTTGCAATCCAACTCCTGTTAATGTGCATGGGAAGCAGCAGAGGACGGTCCAAGCACCTGGGACCCTGCCACCCATGTGGGAGACCCAGATAGAGATCCTGGCTTCTGGCTTTGGGCTGGACCAGTCCTGGCCATTTTGCTCATTTGGGGAGTGAAACAGCAGACAGAAGACCTTTCTCTCTGTTTCTCCCTCTCTCTGTGCCACTATTCCTGTCAAATAAATAAAAATGTTTTTAAAAAATTATAAAAAAGTGAAATTAAATTTCTATAGTAGGGGCCAGCACTGTGGTGTAGTGGGTAAAAGCCACCGCCTGCAGTGCCGGCATTCTATATGGGCGCTGGTTCAAGTCCTGGCTACTCCACTTCCAATCTAGCTCTCTGCTATGGCCTGGGAAAGCAGTAGGAGATGGCCCGAGCCCTTGGGCCCCTGCACCCGCATGGAAGACCCTAAAGAAGCTCCTGGCTCCTGATTTGCATAGCTCCAGCTGTTGCAGACATCTGGGGAATGAACCAGCGGACAGAAGATCGATCTCTCTCTTTCTCTCTCTCTCTCTGCCTCTGCCATTCTGTAACTCTGCCTTTCAAATAAATAATCTTTTTTTTTTTTAAAGTAACTCTTAAAAAAAATAAGATCATTGATTCCCGAGTATACAATTTCCTTAAAAATAATAAGATGGTGGCCAGCGCTGTGGAGCAGTGGGTTAACACCCCAGCCTAAAGCGCCAGCATCCTATATGGGCACCGGTTCCCGTCCCAGCTGCTCCACTTCCGATCCAGCTCTCTGCTGTGGCCTGGGAAAGCAGCAGAAGATGGCCCAAGTCCTTGGGCCCCTGCACCCATGTGGGAGACCCGAAAGAAGCTCCTGGCTCCTGGCTTCATATCAGTGCAGCTCCAGCCGTTGCGGCCATCTGGGGAGTGAACCAGCGGATGGAAGACCTCTCTCTCTCTGTCTCTACTTTTCTCTGTGACTTTGTCTTTTAAATAAATAAAATAAATCTTTAAAAAAATAATAAGATGAAAAATTCTTCAAATAAAAGTAATCCTCTAATTCCTAGTCTGGAGATCTTTTTAATCTTATCTTAAACTCTGAAAGAAGAACACATTGTGTTTTACAAGAAGGAAGTTTAAAATACAAGCAATTTTTTATCCATGGTTAAGCTGATCCAATATTTAGGAATCCAGCCCATACATAGCAAATTTC